CTGGGGATTTAGCTCAGCGGCAAAGCGCCTGCCTGGCAAGCGCAAGGTCGTGAGTTCGGTTCCCGGTACCGGAGAAAAACCAAAAAAATAAATAAATAAATAAAGAACACAAGACCATGGCAGGATCTCTGGCTAATACAGTATAACAGCTTTAGGTGACTCAGGAAGAATAGTGACTACCTTCAAGGTCACATTAATCTTCCCCTGTGGTAGCAGCTTTCTGGTACATGTTCTGCTCACTACATTAACATCATTCTTTTATATAAAGAAAAACACAGAGATCACATCTAGATTTCCCTGGGACAAATATCAGCTTCCCAACCTGTTGCTGTTTCTAGCTTCCTGAACCCTGCAAATCCTACCTGGCTGATTGCCAGTGTCTGCATCCTAGACCTTTTGCAGAGATCTCAAGTGCTGAGACAAAAGCTTCTGCAGGAATTGACATCCCACCTGCACCCAGTCAGTCTGGTCATGGGTGCAGGTGAGATCTGGGCTAATCAAAAACCTAGTCAATCAGAAAGTGCTTTCAAATGAGCTCACAAGCCTTCTCTTCCCCTTTCCAGCTGTCCTTTTATGGGAGTCTTCTCACCCCACTCTCTTCTGTTCAGGTTGCATTCGAACCAATGAGGCCACAATTTTACTATTTTGAAATGGTCAATCTTTTTCTTTCCTACTGTACCTATTAAAATGATAATCTGCACCTAAAATGCCATTTTTCTCTACTTTTTACTATACTCTTGTGTACTCTCCAAAAACCAGAGTGCTCACCTCTGTTTTAATGTAATGAAAACTGCACACAGGTAAGAAAAACACATACGTAAATTCTAAGTGCTCACCCAAACACCTACCCAGAAATAGCTATTGTGCTAGTTAGCAATTGCAAGGGTAGCCTTGGAGGAAGAGTCAGGGCCTTCCCCTACACTGTCCCCCAGTGATAACTCTAGTAAAAGCAGAGCTGCACTCTCCCTCAGGGCCACAAGTCTGCTGCTTAAAGACATAGCTCCAAAATTATTTACTGAGATAAATAAAGGTCAAGAGATTATAATCCTGACAAGGAATGAGGAGCCTCAAGTCACTGTCAGGCAGTAGTTTCAACTTACGAAAGGAAAAGAACAGGAACATAAAATGTGGACTATAATTTCCAAGACATCGCTTGTATTTAAAATGTCAACTGTTCGCCAGGCATGGTGGCACAGGCCTGTAACCCCAGCACTCAGGAGGCTGAGGCAGGAGGATCGTTGCGAGTTCGAGTTCAGCCTGGGCTACAAATTGAGCTCAAGGCCATCCTGAACTGTATAGCAAGACACTGTCTCAAAAAGACAAAAATAAGGGGCTGGGGATTTAGCTCAGCGGCAAAGCGCCTGCCTGGCAAGTGCAAGGTCATGAGTTCGGTTCCCGGTACCGGAGAAAAACCAAAACCAAAAAATCAAAAAGACAAAAATAAATAAATAAAATGTCAACTCTTCAGTGGTTCTCATGTTGTCTCTTATTTGACGGATCCACCCTAAAGTGTCTAGTAATGTAATTTTGGAGTCAGTCCACTGAAGCACTCCAGGATCTCAGGCTGCTGCAGCAGTATGATCCGAAGTCATAATTCAACTTGGAACAGCTATAAAGAGAACACCATGGAAGATGCACGCTCAGTGGGAAGCCCTGAGGCCTGATCCGGAGGGGATCCTGCTGCTGTTTATGTGGAATTAGCACACACTGGCTGCACTGAGCAAAACCCAGGAGGAAGGGAGGCAAGTGTGGAAATAGAGCCAATTAGGGGACTACTGCAGAAAATTTCGGCAGATACGGCTAAACAAGAGGATGGAGGTGGGTAATAGCAGAAAGAGTATCATCTTCAAGGGCTCAGAGAGATAGATGAATTTTTAATAAAAACTGAGAACCAGAAACAAGACATTCATAGATGACACGCCTCCCATCTTCTTTGGGTATTGCCCTTGGGTTTTTGTAGTTGGGTTATTTTGTTTCATTTTCCCTTAAGGCAAGCACTTCACCACTGACTATTATCTCCAGCCATTAAGTTTTTTAAAATGCTATTTTAGAGAAGAAAAATCCTTTTCCCTCTCCTAAATTCTCCAGTTGAAACTCTGGAAATTAAACTGAAAACAGAGTGTATGCTCAGTGTAAGATGGAGGGTTTTGCATGCCCTAGGTTTAAAAAAAAAAAACTAACAGACCAATTAACCAAACAAAAATATTCATTATGTAAGGACACAGGAACTTCATGAAAACATGAGACTACAGAAAGGACCCCGGTGGTTAAGGTTTATTTTTCAATTTAGCCTAAAGAAAAAAGGTTTGGGCTTTGGTGACAACTTTTGGGAAGATGAGACGACAAGTACGATCAGGCAAAGGTTGTACTGGTATGCAGATCAGTGCTGACTTAAAAGTTATCAAGGAAAGACACATCTGGAAAGGGAAAATTTATACTCTGTATGTAGGTACTTAGAAAGAGGAAAGAGCAAGTGTTCACAGCCAATCAACTGCCTTATACTCAAAATAATACAACTACCACAATACAGAGAGAGCCTTTCCTGGTCCT